TGCTGATGCCGGTGCTGATGCTGACGCTGATGTTGGCGCTGATGCAGGTGCTGTTGCTGTTGCTGTTGCTAATAAAGGTTTCGAGACTGTTGTTGTTCCTGTTGTCGCTTCTCATGTCGATGCTGGTGCTGATGATGGTACTGATGGTGATATTGATACAGCTGCTGCTGCTGCTGCTGCTGCTGCTTCAGATGTTGATGTTGCCAGTGCCGATGCCGATTCTGCGGATGAAGCTGGAGCCAGTGTGGATACTGCTACTGCGGATAGCGTTGCTAACACGGCCGTAGTCACGGCGACCGTTTCCGACGAAGATGAGGCTGCGGCAGTGTTGATAGGGTCGGTAGAGGATGAGGCGCAGGTGGTGGCGGCGAAAGCGACGGACGACGTCGACGAATCGGACACGACTGAGTCGCCTCAAGAGGTGTTGAGTTCGAGTCCGAGTCCGAGTCCGAGTGCGGATGCCGTGACGCCGGTGCAAGAGGATGTGATTGTCACGAGGGTTTGGGTGGTGGACGGGTACGAGGGCAGCGGTGACGAGATCGAGTCGTCTATTTCGGGGGGGCAGGAGGTTGCGTCGGGCCACAACCCAACCGTTCCACCGTTCGCGCTCGGCGACGGCGAGGGCGAGAGCGAGGGCCGGGCCGACGAGGCGAGAGGAGGAAGGTCAGCAGGTCAGCCGGCCAATCGAGACTGGTCTGCCGCTCCGGCCGAGCCCGTGTTTGCCGGCCAACTCGAAGTCGAGCTGGAGCCCATACTGGAGCCGGTACTCGAGCCCGAATCCGAGCTCATGGCGGCCACCGGTGCCGGTAAGTGGTCGTTTGAATGCGCCCTTAAACCCTACCACACCCCAACCCCCTCCGCGGGTTCATTTGGCCCGAGTGTCTTCGTCACGCCCACCGTCGAGCAGGCAGATCAGTTGAAATGCGAAGACGAGACCAGACCAACATTTCACCGATCAGCGAGGCTGCGATCAAAACCAACGCGAAACCAGCTTGGTTATTCCGTCTACGATCGAGTCATTTTGACATCAATCGTGTTTCTAAGGGGTGGGGCTCCGCTGGAGCCGGAATTTCGTGGCGCAATTGTGCGATCTCCACTTGGTCCAGTCGGGACGAGACCGATCGGCAATGTCTCGCACAACCTTGTCTTTGGGAAATATAAGAATCGGGGAGAGGAGGATTTCGGAGGAGTAAAAAAGATGATAGAAGATGAGATGTCTGCTGACGAGGAGGGAGTCAAGGTTTCGACAGCACGAAAATGCCAAAAGTGCGTGAGGAGTATCGGGTAGAAATCAACTATCGTCGGGATCGGATAGGAAAAACAAAAATGGCCAACGTGAGTGGAATAATTGCACCAGGAAGATATGATCAAAACAACGGGCTCCAATGATATTCAATGAGACATTATGATAATATTCATTAAATTAATCATTCATATCTAATCGTTTCTCATCTCTCATCTCTCATCATCTCTCATCTCTCATCTCTTATATCTCACATCTCTTATTACTCATATCTCATCTAACATTTCTCTTCATCTTTGATCGTTTAAATCTCTCCCTTAATTTCTCATGTCATCATCTCTCATCTTTCATCCTTTATTTCACATCTCTCATCATCTCTCATTTCTCATCTCTTATATCTATAAACTCTCATTTCTCATATCTCATCTAACATTTCTCTTCATCTTTGATCTTTTATATCTCTCCCTTAATGTATCATCTCAACATCTCTCATCTTTCATCCTTTATTTCTCATCTCTCATCTCTCATAATTTCTAATTTCTCATCTCTCATATCTCACATCTCTCATTTCTCATATCTCATCTTTGATCTTTTATATCTCTCCCTTAATTTCTCATGTCATCATCTCTCATCTTTCATCTTTTATTTCTCATCTATAATCTCTCATCTCTCATCATCTTTCATCTCTCATCTCTTATATCTCACATCTCATCTAACATTTGTCTTCATCTTTATCTTTTATAACTTTCCCTTAATTTATTATCTCAACATCTCTCATCTTTCATCCTTTATTTTTCATCTCTCATCTCTCATCATCTCTCATTTCTCATCTCCCATCATCTTTCATTTCTCATATCTCATCTAACATTTTTCTTCATCTTTGATCTTCTATATCTCTCCTCTAATTTCTCATATCATCATCTCTCATCTTTCATCCTTTATTTCTCATCTCTCATCATCTCTCATTTCTCATCTCTTATATCTCACATCTCTCATTTCTCATCTCTCAGCCGAATTATATCTCTCCCTTAATTTCTCATCTCAACATCTCTCAACTTTCATCCTTTATTTCTCATCTCTCATCATCTCTCATCTCTTATATCTC